ACGTACATGCAGATGCAAATTTACTTGAGTTGTGAAAGATCTTGGGAGTATTTCGGTTACTAATTTCTTGTAATGGAATCCGAAATTTGAGGAGATGTTGAATAGCTAAAGAGTAAGTTTGGATATCTGTAAATCATTCTCATGAGTTCTAAAGAGTAAGCATTATCTCAAACAAATTTTATTTAGTAGTTTCTTCCAAGCATTATCTCATGCAAACTCTATGCTTGGAGTTGGGAAAGACAATCTTGACAGCCTCACCTAGTCCCTTCTCCATATCCGATATGAAGGCTAGATGTTTTATATCACAATTAAAAGCTAGCAAAAAATTCCTCATAAACCACTCATAAGTATTTTTGGATTCATATTCGGCTATGGCATACACAATAGTAAATGGACAATTATTTCCATCAAAATAATTGAAGAAAGAAGTACACCTAAATACTTAGACTTCAGGTGATAGGCATTAACACAACTATACATCTATGTCAAGCAAGGGAACCATCAATACAAACCTTAAAACTAACAAAGAATCGCTTGAATGAGTTGTTATGAATGTCACACGTGTATGCTATGTGTGAGTTTAGATTTCTATTGATTAACTCCGACCTCAAAGTAAGCACCCACATGTAATTATTATCTATTGAGCCAAACATGATGTCTCTTATTAATTCTCTTGACCGCCATGTTTTCAAGTATATGAAAAAGGCAATCCAAAAATGATCTCCAAGTTATTGTCGATGTCCTTTGGTGTGTAATATCAGGATTCTTCTTCGTAATACCCTTAATTGCATGAGCTACCCAACTTGTAGTAGCCTTCTTGTTTCTAGTCGACCGACTCCTAGACACAAATGCGTGAATGCAATTTTCTAACTTCAAAGGAGCGGCCTTATGGACATAGAAAGTACATATTCTTCATGGACAACGATGGTATGTGCAAGTAGCTATTACTCTGGATTTATTACTAACCTTTTATCTTAATAGCAAAGTTATGCAAAATTGTATTAGATCAAATTGCTTGTTTGAAACTTATTGTATCCTCAAAATGCAAACTGACACATAGAGAATTTACATCTTCATCTTTAGAGAAACCATCTCACAAATCATCTAGCATTATGTCATTATTCTCACCACTCTTCAAACTTGAATGATTCATTTCAACTAATTGTTTGTCATTTTGATTTTGAATATTTTGTGGTTGACTCATATATTCTTCATGAACTGCAACCCCCACCTGATCAATTCTACTTCTTTCGTAAGAACTGTTAAACATGTCAAGTACATCAGTATCACTCATAATAGGCAAGGTTCCATTGGTACGATAGTGTAACTCAAACAAATGACCCCTAATGCACTTCACTTCGACTTCGTTCTTTCAACAACAATAAATTGATTTCATTTCTCCGAAGCTTTAACATTTTTTAACTTCCACCAACATATTTCATTCTACTTTTACCCTTCACCGCACTCCAATATTCAATAAATTTAAAAACAATAAATTGATTTCATTTCTCTGCGTTTCTTTAATTTGTTATATGTTTGCAAGTGTCAACAATTACCACCAAAAATTCTACGATTCTATTTAGGCAAATAATTCATATTTTGTAAACTGTGAAGGCGTTTGTTTACCATAGCTGAAGCCAAGAAACCGTGTTCGGCTTCTTCAAGAGAAAAGAAAACGGGAAATCAACTTTCTGGAAGAAACAGAGAAATACTTTCTTAATTTTTTGGGCTGCCAATACAACTCAACAAAGGCTTATTTAAAGAAATGCATGGCTATAGGAAAAGCCAAAAAACTAACTACCTAAAGAAAAAGCTAAGCAACAAAACTAAAAGAAAAATATGGAATAAATCCTAACAATCAACCCCCTAATCCAGATTTTACAAAACATCAGAATCTGTCCAACCGTCTCCAAATCTGCGGCTATGGCCAAGCTAACTTCTGGTTCAACCCCTTGAGACAAATTTGGACAAAACCTCTTAATATGCCCTTCTTTATTACAATGATAGCACTTCCTGTTGGCATTGAATCTACGCGATTCTGATCTTCCTCTAGCGATCAGAATGTTGCCATTCTTGTCTTCCTTTTGGTCGATTTTCCTTTGAACATCTTTTGACATTAAAACGGACTTAACCTCCATTAATGTCAAAGTTTTCTTACCATACAACAATGTCCACTATGTTTTCATACGTCTTCGGTAGAGAGCTGAGGAGTATGATCCCTTGATCTTCTTCGTCAATTTTCACATCAACATTCCTGAGGTCAAGGATCAATTTATTGAAATCGTCCAAATGCTTCCGGAGTTCTTGATTTTCTTCCATTTGGAGTGTATACAATTGTTTCTTCAACAACAATCGATTTGTAAGAGACTTTTTTATATAAATTGATTCTAGCTTCCTCCATACCTTCAATGTCGTGTCTTCTTCAGCAACCCCTCTTAACACTTCGTCACCGATAGAGAGAAGGATGATATTGTGCGCTTTCAATTGGATTTCTCTCGCCTTGGCTCTGTCGGTGATTGCAGCTAAATTCTCTTCAAAGATTGCATCGGAAAGGTCTTGATGAACCAAAAGCGCCTTCATCTTGATCCTCCAAAGACTGAAATCGTTCTCCCCCTTGAACTTGTCGATCTCCAGTCTTTGCATCGACATGACGAAGAAATCAAGATCTTAAAAGAAAAACCTCTGTGCTTTGCTCCTCAACACAAGCAGAACCCTTCGGCTAGTTGTTGTACAGCTTAACGGTTCAAAAAACCGTTAAATCAGCCACAGCTCCTCCGGGCGAAATCCCGAGCAGCCTCCTCCCGTGCTTTCTCCGCGCCCAGCCGCTCGCTGGTCCAGCGCCCTTGCACGCCTCACGCCTCTTTCTCGCACCACGTGTTTCTTCAACAACAATCGATTTGTAAGAGACTTTTTCATATAAATTGATTCTAGCTTCCTCCATACCTTCAATGCCGTGTCTTCTTCAGCAACCTCTCTTAACACTTCGTCACCGATAGAGAGAAGGATGATACTGTGCGCTTTCAATTGGATTTCTCTCGCCTTGGCTCTGTCGGTGATTGCAGCGAAATTCTCTTCAAAGATTGCATCGGAGAGGCCTTGATGAACTAAAAGCGCCTTCATCTTGATCCTCCACAGACTGAAATCATTCTCTCCCTTGAACTTGTCGATCTCCAGCCTTTGCATCGACATGACGAAGAAATCAAGATCTTAAAAGAAAAACCTCTGTGCTTTGCTCCTCAACACAAGCAGAACCCTTCGGCTAACTGCTGTGCAGCTTAACGGTTCAAAAAACCGTTAAATCAGCCACAGCTCCTCCGGCGAACTCCCCCGAGCAGCCTTCTCCCGTGCGGTCTCCGCTCCCAACCACCAGCGCCTTCGCACACCTCACACCGCCTTCTCGCACCACGCTCGCCGCCAGCCCGTCTCCGGCCGGCCTCCGTGTGCAACCTCCCGTGCACTTGCTGTCCGTGAGCTCCTTCGACCCACATAGCCCAACACGATCACCTTTGCGCGTCCTGCTCTCGCCAACCTCCATCCTCCGGCGATCTCACCTCTACACGAACTATTGCACTTCCAGAGCTTCTTGCTTCATCAGATCTGATCTTCTTGGCTCCAAGAACTCCTTCCTTCTAGGTGGTTCTCCGGTGAGGAGTGTCGTGCGAATGAAGAAGAAGAAAAAATAGAGTTGAGGAAGAAATAGATCGGAACCAATGCAAGAAAAGGAAGGTTGCTCTAATACCAAATTGTAAACTGTGAAGGCGTTTGTTTACCAGAGCTGAAGTCAAGAAACCGTGTTCGGCTTCTTCAAGAGAAAAGAAAACGGGAAATCAATTTTTTGGAAGAAACATAAAAATACTTTCTTAATTTTTTGGGCTGCCAATACAACTCAACAAAGGCTTATTTAAAGAAATGCATGGCTATAGGAAAAGCCACAAAACTAACTACCTAAAGAAAAAGCTAAGCAACAAAACTAAAAGAAAAATCTGGAATAAATCCTAACATATCTTTTGATACATAATTCAAACACTAAAAAATACATCCAATATCAAACACACAAATAAGCTGATATCAAAATTCAAGTTTGAAGTTGAAAACTTGAATCCTATGATATATATATATATTCAAATCAAATTCAAATCTGAAGTTGAATAATGGAATTCTATGAAAATTCCAAGCTGATAAGAATAGCATTTTAATCATTATATGGAGTTGAATAAGACCTCTTAAAATAAAAGAAAAGCAATCATTTGTAACTTGAACTCACAACAATATATATATATATATATATATTCAAATCAAATTCAAATCTGAAGTTGAATAATGGAATTCTATGAAAATTCCAAGCTGATAAGAATAGCATTTTAATCATTATATGGAGTTGAATAAGACCTCTTGAAATAAAAGAAAAGCAATCATTTGTAACTTGAACTCACAACATCTTAAAACATTAAACAGCTCACAAGTGGAGAAGACGAGAAGCAAATATGTCATAACCATAAAATGGAGAAGAACAACTCATTTTTTGGCAGATTTAACCGAATAAGTACGAGAAAGGAGAGATATTTCGTTACTAGTGCTGATCCAACAACAACAACATTGTCGGTTGAGCGGAGAAGCTCGAAGCAACTCTACTAGAAGCGCTTCATGCGATATCAACTATAAAATGTAGAAGATGAAAAGCAAAGTTAAAGATAAGGAGTGTGGAGGCGCAAAAGAAGAGCCACACAAGCGAATTGTTCATACAGAGTAAACATAGTATTATTTTTTAGGAGAGAATAAAATTTAGGTGGTAGGTATGTAAATAGTATGATTTAAATGTTAGATAAATAATTATAATACTTTGACTTGTTATATATGTAAAAACCCCAAAATAAAAATATAACAGTATATAAAATCAAATAAAATGGGTTGGTTATATTTACTTACACGCCATTATGTAATTGTCGATCTCCAGTCCAAAATGCGGGTCACATGACAACGCATCCAATTTACGGAAGACCTCGTCGCAGAAATTCGGAGCGAGCGCGAGCGCGAGCGTCAGAGAGATGGCTTCGCTGACGAGAACCGCGGCATCTTTGGCTGGCCTCCTCGTTCTCCTCATCTCCTTCACCGTATACATCTCCACCGCCGACCTTGGTTCCCGTCGCTTCTCGCTCCCCTCCCTCCCTCTTCACTCCTCCTTTTTCTGTGGCCCAGCCCCCTGCGCTGCCACCGCGGCATTAGGACGCCAAATGCCGCCTCTTCGCGTCTACATGTACGATCTTCCCCGCCGCTTCAACTTCGCCATGATGGATCACCGACCTGACACGGATCCCCCGCCTGCTACGGGCAAGGATATTCCGCCGTGGCCGCCCAGCGCGGGGATCAAGAAGCAGCACAGTGTGGAGTACTGGATGACCGTGTCTCTACTCGTCAGCGAGGAAGAGGCTTCCGTGGAGGAGAGGGAGGCGGTCAGGGTTCGCGATGGGGAGGTGGCGGACGTGTTCTTCGTCCCTTTCTTCTCCTCACTTAGTTTTAACTCTCACGGGCGCAACATGACTGATCCCGACACCGAGATCGATCGGAAGCTTCAGGTATCACTTATCCTTCAATTGTATCTATGTCGGCCTTATTTTTTATTAATGTGTTATCTGGATTATAGAGGGCGGTTTATGGAATTATGGTCCAAAATAGGGGAGTAAAGATTAGCATGGGTTTTAGGGGACATTCTGGATCTTGTTGTCTTCTGAAGTTGTTTTTTGAGAATATTAGGAGCTCAATGATAATTTGGCTATAAGGGTCTAATATCTTCGTTAAACTCTGAATCCTTATCTCCCTTCACCTATCAGATGCTTGCCTTTTTTATTGACATCAAAATTGTTGCTAAAAAGTCTAAGGTTATATATACTACTAAACCTTTTGAGCTCATATTCAATTCTTTTACTAATATTTGGGTTTAAACAAATGACCCTGAGTGGATTTGGCTTTTCTCTAAGGGGTTGTTGGTTGCAGAGACTATAAATTTCAAATTTAGAGACGATAAATTTATGAGTGTTTTGTTGATTGAATTACAGATACTATTAATTGCAGATAATTTGAGTGTACTATATTTCAAATGCAAATACTATAAATTTTTTAGTATTTTGTTGAGAATAAGTAAATAAAAGATATTTATCTAAGGGAGTTAAAATTACTCAAACAGGTTATGTTTTAAGAATTTGATATTTTCCCTATTTGAGTGAATTCTAGATACATGATACATCGGGTCTTGCAATCTCATTGTGCTTATGTACCTGCCTTCATCGCATTCATAAAATTATTGTCCCTGCTTTCACCCTACGTCCTCATGACCTTAATGCCTCCCCGCCCTTGCAACCTTGGAGACCTGATCTGTGATTCTTCTCTCTCCTCCTGCTCTCCCCAACCCCATATGACCATATAATTACCATTTCTTACAACATTGTCAATTTTGTCTACATTGCGAGGGCACCCTGTGTTATATAGCCTATTAAAATATTATTGAAAGAAACGGGTTGGAAGGCCATCTATGAGGTACATGATATTGCCAACTTGATCTTTGTTGATGAAGAGGAAGGTATATGATTTCTTTGAACTTGGTTGGCTTCAACATGAATTTATTCAAGGGTTATTCAACCCTTTTACATGTATGCACACTGATGGTTAGCTCACACTTTGATTTATCCTTTTGATTACAATGGGAGGGTTTCACTAACTATCACCACACTCAAAATATTCACCTGAACATCATTTTTGGATCTATGGTTAGGCTTGCCATGTCCTAGCTATCCAATTTTGAACTTAGCTAGGGTGCACCTTTGGGGCATAAAAACCCTCTAAAGTGCACATTTGGGGCAGGTTCAGACAAATTCATGGGGTTTCTACTCACACCAGAAAGCATAAGAATCAACCCTAACAACATGAGAGCCATACTTGAGATGAATTTTCCCAAGCGACAAAAGAAGTATAATGAATCATTGGACGAGTCGCCCAGCTCGATCGCTTCTTCTCTCGACTCAATGAGAGATGCTCGTCTTTCTTCAAAGTCTTTAGAAGATCAAAGAAGTTCTCTTGATGCTAGGACTACAAAGCTGCCTTCTAGTGGCTGAAACCACCCCTTCTCGAAAGCCCGCGACCAGGTAAGAACCTGCTATTATACTTACGAGTTGACGAGGACATAATTATTTATGTGCTCATCAGAGAAGTGGGAAGGATGCCATGGTCAGTTTACTACATGAGCAAAACACCACAGAACAACGATACCCAAACATGGAGAAACTTTCATGGGCATTGGTATGCCTGGAAAGGAGGTTGCAATCCTACTTCTAGGCTCATCCCATCCAAGTGTTGATTGACCATCCACTCAAAGCTTTACTTGCTAAACCAGATCACTTTGACAGACTGCTCAAATGCTCGATAGAGCTTAGCAAGTTCCAGATTGTAGGATTTAAAGCTATCATTTTTTCTATTTGGTGGGATGTAGACTAAATAATGCTTAAATCCTACTCAAATTTTTTGATGTAAGTTTTTGCATGATTTAAAACTATCATTTTTGTTATTTGACAGGATATTTATGCTTAAATTATGTAAGGTTTTAATATTTTATGAATGTTTTAATTGTGTTTTAGGGCTATTTAAGGATGAGTTTTGTCTAGAGTTTTCATGTTATGTATGCTGAGTTTATTTTCCTCTTGTTGGAGTGAGTTTCCTAACAGTGGCTAATAATAGATCAATTGTATCTTTCATTATTAGTTGAAGGAGTAATAACAAATCTGCCCCTACATTTGTGTTCCTGGATTTCTTGTTCTCTATTTTGCTATTTTTGCTTCCAAGACGCATCACATTGTGAGAAGCCTAAGATGGTGTTTGTGACTAACCCAGAGATAACAATTACAACATACCTGTAGGTGGTGGTAGCAAATAATCTTTAGAGAATGAAGGTGACAAAACTAGGTTTAGTTACTGTGCTCGACTTAAATGCAATGACAAGGGAAAAGCTGAAAGGTGGTGGTAATTGCAAAGCTAACAATGAGAATAATAATGAACTTGAAAGCAACTATTGCACAAGCCCAATGACAATGATAGTAGCATGCCTAAATGTGGTGATTATAGTTAATGCAAATCTAAAGGTATTGGTTGCAACCCAAAGGCGTTGACATCTACTAAATTGTAGATTACGGTTGACTGATTGATAGTCAACTTTGCCATAAAAGTTATTGTTTTATGGATATTTGGAATTGTTTTAGAGATTCAAATTGATTATAAACTTCTTATGAGTGTATAAGAGAGTAGACGAGATGATGAGTTTTTTTATCTTTCTTTGTTTGGAAGGACCACCAACCAAATTTTATATAATTGATTCTGTTTTATAAAGTTGCATTTAATTTTGTTTCCAGTTGGATCATTTAGTTATAAGCCATGAATGATTTTGTAGTTAGTTTATAGCTGGATTCAACCTATCATCCCTTGGTATTATGGTCTTTGGTAATTAGTTGCATCTCTACTTAAACCTTATTAAGTTGCATCCAAAGATTGACATATTCGGTGAAGCTGGATAGAGATGAAGGCGAAATTGACCCTAGTTAGGATGGTCCTTCTATTGGTGTCAAGCCTGGTCTTTAGCTTCTCTCATGAGTCCTGCCCAATAATAATTGTCTTCTGTATGCGCTATAAGTTGGATCAAGGTTCTGATTAAATGGTCAATCAAAAACACTTTGGATGACAATGATGTTTTAGAATGTGATGAACCAAATTGACTGACCATAATATTTGAGTTGCAGCAATATGAATGGATGTGTCTCATAGTGGCGTTGACATGAACAGTAGTAATGAGTGGCATCACAATAATAATGGCACCTCTAGGTAGCAGCAATGAGCGACAATACATCATAACCAACGAGCGACAATACATCGTAACCAACGAGCGACACAGGATGTTGGAAACAAGCGGTGGAACTTCATTAATGAGCATCGGTCCAAAATTTTCTCAGAGCTTTATTTATTTTTGATAATTTCTTTATAATGAATGGAGTTTTTGGTCTATTTAGATAAGATTAGTTTAGAATTTATCTACATCCAGTTTCAAATTTCAAAGGTTATTTGGAATAAAAAAAAAGGAGATGCAAACATCTGATTATAAAAAAATTTGCAAATGCTGGCAGATTAGTATTTTATTCTCATGCAGTGGACTGATAGGAAAATATTTAAGGTTTATTGCTTCCTCATATAGATTTAGTGGAAAGAAACACCAATGTTTATTGAATTTTTGGCGAAACTGATCCACTTTTGAGTAGAGTGTTTAGGGACGAATGAATCATTAGAAGGTAGTGTAGACATTATAGAGTTAAAAACAATTCAAAGAAGTTTAAGGTCTTGGGAATGAATTATAACCAAACGAGGATATGCCAATGGCAATGGAGGCGTTGTTGTGATCATCGTAAGCAATAAGTTGGGAGAGATGTTGCTCTGGCGATCCCTTATCACAGGTGATTTTGAAACTGTTGCTGTAACTTTAAATCTATCACGAAGCTTCTTGAATCCAAATTGAGAAAGCTAGATTTTATCGTTAACATTGCAAAGTTAAACTCTCATTAATCTCTAACGTGCAATTCATGTTCACCGCATGTGGTTTCACATAAGTTGCTGTAACTTTAAAACTTTATGCTGAGCGAAGATAATGTTTTGTATGACTTGGATATGATGGTTTTGGTTAAGTCAAGCCTTGTGCAACTGTTCAAGCTTATGAGAGCTTTTGTTTGATCCTTTGAGCATTTTGAACATTTTTTCGTTGTTTTAGAGTTTGTCCGGGAGTTGATCATGCTAAAATCTAACAAACTCAAATTAAACTCTGTTTCGATTCGTTTGGTTCACCTAAACCAAGAGCTCTCTCATATCCAGTTATTTATGAGAAAGCAGATACCCAAATATTGTTTTTCTCTTAGCTTATGCTTTTTATCCGTTGACGTTTTTTGTTCTCCCTTCTTAATTATTTTTATCTTTACTATGTAAAATATTAATTTTTGGATTTTCTTACATTTTCCAAAAGATCTATTGAAGCCCTTGATGCCAAATTAATTCCTATCCAAGGTTTGTTCACCGTAGTTTTCCTTCTTAGCAATGAAATTATAAAATATAATTCTCATTTATAGATTAAAATATTCAATTAAAAAAACTTATTCACATGTCATCACCTATTTTTTCATTTCAAATTGAAATCAAGCTGGGCTATTTGAAGGAATGAACCCTTTAATACTAATTGGGTAAGCCTCTAAGTAATTAGTCAGCTAACTAACATTATTTACAAGCACTTCTGAAGCTAAGATATATTTGAAGTCCTGACTATGCCCCCAGACCCCATTCTTAATGTAGGATCGAGCTCCTTGTACTTCACCTTGCCATTTTAAACCAATTGCCTTGTTTTGTATGTCACTTAGAACTAGTTCTTGGTCAAGCTATCTAATCAAATGGTTACCTAATAATAATTTTTTGGACCACTTAACATGAAGAAATAAATGAAACTATTTTTGGCAATTAAGGAAATTGACTTATTCGGATAAGCACTAGTTAACGGTCAGATATTTTTTATTCAATGTTTAAGCTAACTCTTAATGTTTTGTTCGAGTAAAACCCTGAAATTTATTTGATGTCTGTCAAAAGATAAATTTGATCTGAAAAGGTCATATTATTTTGGTTTAATCTTTCTTCTCAGGGACTGTTAAGTTGTTGCTACGTTATACTGATTTCTCTAACATGTGGCAGGTTGACTTGCTCGACATTTTAAGAAAGTCAGACTACTGGCAACGGTCAGCTGGTCGAGACCATGTTTTACCCATGCAGCACCCAAATGCATTTAGATTTCTCCGTGATCAGTTGAATGCATCCATTCTTGTGGTTGCTGATTTTGGGAGGTATCCAAAAAGCTTGTCCAACTTAAACAAAGATGTTGTGGCTCCATATGTTCATGTTGTGCAATCCTTTATGGATGATGATTCTTCTGATCCTTTTGAATCACGTCCCACGCTTCTGTTCTTCCGGGGAAGAACAGTAAGGAAAGATGTGAGTGCAATATTATTTCTTCGGTTTATTATTCAATCATAGCTAGTTATGCTAAACTGCATTCATGGATCTTAATGAAACTTTTTGGCATGTTATTTGTGCAGGAAGGAGTTGTACGCCAAAGGCTGGCCAAAGTTTTAGCTGGCTTCGATGATGTGCATTTTGAAGATAGCTTTGCTACTGGGGAGGGCATTAAAGCTGTAAGTTTTTTTATTCTTTTTTACCAGCACATATCTCACGTACCGTTGCCTTGGTTTTAGGTTTATGATCAGTGAAGGTCGTTCGATAATATGTTAATGTTTTAATGTTTTCTTATTTAAGACTTCAATGCTAATGCCTAAATCATGCTGAGCTTCTTCAGTGTTGTTCAAAATTGCAGAGTCAGAGCAAAATGCACTGTAGGCATGGTTTGGACTGTTAACCTACAATTATTGCTATTTAAGTCAATAGATAGACAAGAAGTTATGGGTTATTTCTCGTCCATATTTGATTTTCTTGAGCTAAGGTCTCTTATTTCCAGGACATCAGGTGGAAGTAAACACACACTCAGGTCATCTGGTAGAAGCAAAAACACACACTTGAATGTATTTATTCATGCATGTATATGTCTTCCTTTACTGTAACTCAAAAGGTTTATCAGCATTAAAATAAGTCAGAAAGCCTATTTTGGTTTGCTTTTCTTGGAAAAAAAAAATTCTACTGGCAGTCTTGAGAGTTCTTTTCTTTTTGGCATCGCATCAGATACAGCCTCCCTTTTGTATTCTTCACTCGTCAATTCAACTCTACTTTTCTTCAGGAGAAGATCTGTGTTGCAGTTTATATATTTGCATAAACACATATATTCCCCTTAAATAATGCATATTTTGCTATTAAGCTATTTCAAATCGCCCAGTACTAAACTTTATATACTTCTTTGGCAACCCCAGTCCACACTCGGCATGCGTTCATCAAAGTTCTGTCTGCACCCTGCAGGCGACACACCCTCCTCATGCCGCCTGTTTGATGCTATCGTCAGTCATTGTGTCCCTGTAATCATCAGCGACCACATTGAACTCCCCTTTGAGACTGAGCTTGACTACACCGAATTTTCCTTTTTCTTCTCAGTCAATAAGGCCCTACAGCCTGGGTACCTGGTTGCCCAGCTCAGAGCAGTATCCAAGGATAGGTGGCTTGAGTTGTGGAAGAAGTTGAAGGCTGTGTCCCACCACTATGAATTTCATTATCCTCCAAAGAGAGATGATGCTGTAAACATGCTCTGGAGGCAGGTACGCCAAAAACTCCCTACAGCCAAACTTGCTGAGCACCGGAGTCGACGACTAAAGATACCTGACTGGTGGAATTGATGGTGGCCATTGATGATGATTTTGATCACTAATGGCAGTGATAGTGACCATGATAACAATGATTGTACGCTAATCTTGTTTTCAGGTCTTTCAGGATTTTTTATGGCCTAGAGCTATAGTGTACATAGTGGCTGCAAGGCCTTACCTGCTGCTGCCATGGTTGAGTGAATTTTGTGACAATGGATGCACAAGCCTTTTTTGAGCAGAGGTATTTATCCCCAATTGTAACTTTACACTTTTGAACGATTTTTTCTTTCCATTCGATAGAATAAAGCTTTGTTCTTAGCCATCTTTTATGTCATTTTGTTTTTTGATATGGAACATGAGTTCCTGGACATGCCAATCAACCTCTGATGAATGCATAGAATTTGAAATTAAATTAAATATTGATGCTGCCATGAGTGCCTGACGTGTTCCTGGTCATTGTGGCGTGTCAATAAGAATTTGAGGTGGGCTCAATGAGGAAAACAATCACCCGATATATATATTGCCACCATTGATTTATTAGTTCTGGCCTTTTGTTAAGTTGAATTAGCTTTCTATAGACCAAAGAACATCACCTTGGAGTTGTAGATCTTGATGAGGGTATGAAACAAAGTCTTCGTTTAGGATAATTTTATTACTGATTCTTAAAGTAATTTTTTAGTATAAAAATTTTAATTTTTAAATTAGAAAATTATTTTAAAAAGCAATAAAAAAAGCCGTCCCAAACAAAGACAAAGTATGCTTTTTAGGCTTCATTTGGGATAATTTTGTTACTATTTTTTAAAGTAATTTTTCAATTAAAAATTTTTAATTCATCATCATCATCATCATCATCAAGCCTTTATCCCATTATGTACTGGTGACTACATCGTTATTTTTTTCTATTGTGTCCTATTAAAAATTAAATTTACATTTAAATATAATAAAGAAATATCATTTCTAATACCATCTTATCAAGTCTCTTTAGATCCATCTCTACTTTTCTTAACATAGGTATGATCTAATATATTTACTCTCCTAATCGAGTCATCAACAGGTAGATGTTTTATGTGAAGACTTTTGGGGTTTAAGGTTTTGTTTGGGATAGCTTTCTTATTGATTTTTAAAACAACTTTTCAATGCAAAACCTTTTTGTTCAAGAAATTATTATACCAAAAACTTTTTTTAAAAATAATGAAAAAGTTGTCCTAAATGAAATCTAAGTGATCAAAAATAAGTTTGGTGAATGAAAAACTAAATGCTAATTGCTTATACTTCTCTTTAGTTATAATTAATTTTATTTATCAAAACAAAATTTAAAAATTTTAAAGTTGTTTTAATCCTTTTTAAAAATATAATTATTACTAATTTTATTTTTTTATTTCAAGAAAAATATGCTTGAAATTTTTATTTTTCAAACAAACAATTGTATATAATTTGCATAAAGTATTTGCCAAATAAAATAGAAGTTATGTGAGTTAGTAGAGGGTTGTAAAGAGAGAAGTAATAGCGGCAGTGAGAGAGAGAGATAGATAGGATAGACACAATGTGTATTGTTTTGAACTCAAGATTTATAAGGTTTTGTTTGGGAATAAGTTTGAAATTATAAAACCTCGTGTCATCAAGAATGGAATCTTGTCAAGTTACTTAGACATGGCATCTTGCTCAATCATTAGTGCCAATGCCAAAGTTTTAAAAATCAGACTGGTCTTTGATTCAAAAAAAAAAAAAAAAGTTGAAAGCTCAAAAGTTCAATAAGAATTGAACTGAGTGTAGAAGAGAAAGATGTAATAAAAATAAATTTTATTTTATAATTATATTTAATTGATATAGTAATAATTCAAAACTATGATAAAAATAAAAATAATTATTTCAAGAAATGTAGAAAATACATAAGAAAATATCTTATATAATTTTCAATTTTTAAACATTTTCTAATTCTAATGTTATTTTCAATTTCTATCTCATAATATTAATTGTGATTGAAGGCTAAAGGGGGTTAATCATGAACTTTTATTATATCCAGTGAACATATGCAGAGGAACGTTCGGTTTTAGGCAAAAAAGCGTCTGTACCGAGTTTTTTGAAAAACTCGGTACACCTCGGTACTCGGTACTCGGTACAGGCGCTTTTTTTGTCTAAAACCGAACGTTCCTCTGCGTACGTTCACTGGATAAAATAAAAGTTCGTTAATCAGGATGCAATCAAAGGAAAAAATTAGAGAGCGAGGGTTTCTTATTTTCTTTTTAGTTTTAACAATTTATTTACTTAAATTATTTAATTCAAAATTAAATTTAAGGGATTGATACCATAAGTAGTGACAATTTGATCATAATAATGAAAACCGGCCAGCTGATCAATAACATTGTGATCGATTCAACCCCTAGTTCTACTTGATTCTAGTCAATTATGTGGTTCCTCCACACGGGAACTAATAATGTGGCTCCACTATAATAATTGGAAAGTGTGAGAATTATTGTTGGCGTGATAAGGCTGAATCCTTAGGAGTTGTAGGAGAGTTTCAGAAAGAGTGTGGTCACCGGAGGCTAATCAGATGCACAACATCACAAGATACATAGTCGCACATAATGACGGTACACAGTGAATTGATTACGTAACGTTTTCTGATTGGCCTCAGGACGACATCCGATGACCGCACGTAATAAGTTCAATTTAGTTTGAGTGGTGAAAAAGGATTCGGGTGATGATAGGATTGGAGATAGAATTTTAGCGTTAAAGATTGTTGTTGATGATAAGATTGTTAATATTATAAGTGCTTATGCTCCTCAAGTAGGTTTGGATATGAGTTCTAAATTAAATTTTTGGAATGACTTAGAAGAATTAATACAAAATATACCTCTTGAAGAAAGAGTTTTTATTGGAGGAGATTTAAATGGACATGTTGGTAGAGAGGTCGATGATTTTAAAAACATTCATGGCGTGATATTGATGCTTCTCAAAATCACTTTGGATTCATGTCGGGTAGGTCGACTATGGAAGCCATATATTTATTAAGAGGTTTGATGGAGAAATATAGATAAAATAAGGAGGATCTACATATGATATTTATTGATTTAGAAAAAGCATATGATAAAGTTCCAAGAGAAGTGCTATGGAGAGTTCTTGAAAAGAAAGGAGTTAATAATGCTTATATTCAAATCATTAAAGATATGTATGCAGGAGCTATTACTTGTGTTCAAACACAAGGTGGATTGACCAAGTATTTTCCTATTTCGGTTGGGTTACATCAAGGATCAGCCTTAAGCCCATATCTTTTTGCTTTAGTCTTGGATGTTCTCACTAGACATTTGCAAGATGATGTACCTTGGTGTATGCTTTTTGCTGATGATATTCTTCTTGTTGATAAGACTAGAGAGGGAGTTGAAGGTAAACTTGAATTATGGAGGTCAACCTTAGAGTCTAAAGGTTTTCGCTTGAGTAGATCTAAAACAGAATATATGGAGTGTAATTTTAGTAGTAATAGACCTACTGAAGGGATTGTGACTTTGGGCGATCAAGTCATTAATAAGAGTACACGTTTTAGATATCTTGGATCAATTGTTCAAAGTGATGGTGAAATAGATGGGGATATTATCAGCAGAATTCAAGTTGGATGGTTGAAGTGGAGGAATGCATCGGGCTTGTTATGTGATAGAAATGTACCCCTCAAACTTAAAGGAAAATTCTATAAGATGGTAGTGAGGCCTGCAATGCTTTATGGTGCCGAATGTTGGCCATTAAAAGAGAAGCATAATACTAAGTTAAGTGTGGCAGAGATGAGAATGCTCAGGTGGATGAGTGGCTTTACCCTTAGAGATAGGATACGAAATGAGCATATACGTGAAAAGGTTGGAGTAGCTCCAGTAGAAGATAAAATTAGAGAGAGTCGCCTTAGATGGTTTGGTCACATAAAACGACGGCCTTTCGATGACCCGGTTAGGAGAGTAGAGGTATTAGATTTGACTTATGTTAAGAAAGGTAGGGGTAGACCTAAAAAGACTTGGTTAGAAAATATTAGGAATGACCTTTCTTTATTAGGTTTAAATGAGAATTTGACTTTTAATAGAACACAATGGAGAAAAAGGATTCATGTAGTCGACCCCACGTAGTGGGATAAAGGCTTGATGTTGTTGTTGTTGTTGTTGGTGGTGGTGAAAAAGGATTCGGGTGAACTTATTGGAGATGTTTCCAATTAGCTCTACTTTATTTGGTTGGCTAAGGAAAGATAAAGTTGGGTTGCGATGCTTAGGCTAGTGGCCTAGTCTTCACCAATCTAATCAGTTATGAAAGCTTAAAATGATTTCCTCGATGCTTAGGCTAGTGGCCTAGTCTTCACCAATCTAATCAGTTATGAAAGCTTAAAATGATTTCCTCGAGCCGCAGTTGTCCATTCAGCAGGGGCGCCAAAGTGTCGACTGCGGGTACTATGGCATGGATGGTCTAGTAGGTCGGCTCGGATTTACGGACCGCCAAACGCGTTCGGCAAAGCCGAGCGTGATAGCGGACAGTTCCTCGTCACAAAAAAAAAAATTATATAAATGATATAAATTTGAGTGTTATGTATACAAATTTGTTAATAAAATAATAATATGAATATTAATCTAAATGAAGATTAAACTCCAATTTATCAAAATTAACGGCAGCCAGATCTAACTTTTCACTGTCTGCCGAAGTTTTCACTCGAATGTAATATGCGGAGGTTTGAAGCTTTAGATGAAAACCCTAGCCTTTACTCTCCATAAAAATCCTTGATTTCTCGCAAAGACTTCTTTTTGCAGATGACCGCATGAGATGGGCGACAGGAATAGCCTTCCTGCTTCCTCGCAGCGGTGGCGGCCGTCATCAATGCCAACATCTCTTGTCCTCCGCCTCTCTCCCTGGAGATCTTTCCCTCTCCGAGGACATCCTCTACATTCTCGAAACTGTTCCGTCGGCCGCCGCCATACAGCCCTCTCTCAACTCTCTCGCTCCACTTCTTTCCGCCTCCTCCGTCTCGCTCGCTCTCTCCTCTGCTCCATCTCTATCCTCCGCCTTCCTCCTCTTTGCCTGGTCCTCCCACCACCGTGCCCTCCGCTCCTTCGCCGCGCACAACCTCGTCATCTCCTTCCTACTTCGTGACTCGCCTTCCTCGTTCTCCTCTTTCTGGTCCTCACTCTCCGATCTCCGCTCCTCGTCCATTCCCGTCCACCCTTACGCCTTTTCTGCCCTCATCTCCGCCTACAACGCCGCAGGCTTCCCGGAAAAAGCTGTTGAGGCCTTCAACCGCATGCCGGAGTTCGCCTCCCGCCCCAACACCTTCACCTACAACACACTTCTAAGCATCCTCGCTGGAAAGGGCATGATATTGCTTGCCATGTCGGTGTATAACCAAATGATCAAGTCTGATTGCCTCCCGAATTCATCGACCTACACAATTCTCATTCATGGTTTGTGCAAGTCTGGGAAGATCGATGATGCGCTGAGGCTGTTTGATGAAATGCTCCGTAGAGGTATTGCCCCGAAAACAACTCTTTATACAGTTATTCTATCGCTGCTTTGTTGTGCGAATAGGATAGATGATGCCATTAGGCAATTGCAGTCAATGAAAGAGAATAATTCCCGTTTGGATGAAGTTGCCCGCAATGCCTTGCTTAGTGGGTTATGCCAGATTGGTAGGATTGATCAGGCCTTTGAGCAGTTAAAATTGTTTCAGGTGGACGGATTTGTTCTTGGATTGAATGGATATAGTTGCTTAATTGATGGCTTGTTCAGGACAAGGAGGTTTGAGGAGGCCTGTGAGTTTTATCGTGAAATGTTGAAGAATAATATTAGGCCTGATTGTGTCTTGTACACTATAATGATAAGAGGGCATGCTGATGCTGGTAGGATTGAGGAAGCTTGTGAGTTTTTTAATGAAATGACCAATGGTGGATTGGTTCCAGACACCTATTGCTACAATACTTTGATCAAAGGACTATGTGATGCTGGTCTTTTGGATAGAGCCAGGTCATTAAAACTTGAGATTTCCCAGAATGGTTGTTTTCCTGATTCTGCCACATATTCTATTTTAATTTGTGGGTTGTGTAAGGAAGGTCTCATTTATGAGGCACAACAAATATTTGATGAGATGGGAAAGGCTGGCTGCTTCCCCACTGTTATGACCTTCAATTCTCTCATCAGTGGGCTCTGCAAAGCTGGAAAGATGGAAGAAGCTCAGCTTCTTTTCTATAAGATGGAAATGGGAACAAACCCTTACTTGTTCTTTCGGCTTTCACAAGGTCCCGAGCAGGTCCATGATATTAGTAGTCTGCAGGAAAGAATTAGAGAGTTATGCCTGTCTGGTGATGTACTTAAGGCCTATAAGCTTCTCTGCGCCATCATAAACAGTGGAGTTGCGCCTGACGTTGTTACTTACAACATCCTAATTAATGGTATGTGTAAGGCCGGAAAGATCAAACAAGCACTGAAGCTCCTTGAGGATCTTCAGACAAAAGGTCATTTCCCTGATGCAATTACTTATGGAACCCTTATTGATGGATTATCAAGGGTCCACAGGGACAAAGATGTCTCTGAGGTGTTTGAGCAAATGCTCAAGAATGGATGCAAACCTACTGTGTCAATCTACAATACCCAAATGAGAACCCTCACTAGGAGAAGGCAAACTTCAAAAGCAGTGTTATTGTGGCTAGATTACATCTCACAGGAGAAAACTAGTTCAGAAGAAGCTGAAACTATTTGGATAGCTCGAAAGCATTTTGAAGAAGGTAGCTTGGTGGAAGCTGTAAGAACTCTTCTTGTGTTGGAAAGAAATCAAGGCTGTGCAAACTCTTTTCCATATACTATTTGGCTTATAGGGTTATGTCAGGAATGGAAGACTGATGAGGCTCTTGGGATTTTTACTCTTCTCCGGGAGTTTGAGATAGAGGCAACTCCTCCCAGTTGTGCACTCCTTATCAATTACCTTTGCCGGGCTGGAAAGTTAGGTTCTGCATTGGATGTAATGCTCTATTCTTTGAGGAAAGGCTTCTTATTTATGAAACCTGTGGGCAACCGTTTACTAAGAAGACTCTGTCTTCATAATAAGATGAAGGATGCACAGGAGATTGTGCGCAGAATGCATCTTGCTGGATATGACATGGACTTGTATCTTAGGAAATCCACAAAGGCCCTTCTGTATACATAGTGAATTATGGTTTTTTTGCTAGGAAACCCTATTGTTATTGTGAGATATAGTTTGAGGCTTTTGTTTTTGTAGGGAGAATTTTTTCCTGTTCTCCTAAGGCTTCGTTTAGGACGCCTTTCTTACTGCTTCTTAAAGCGGTTTTCTAGTACAAATTTTTTAATTTTGTACTAGAAAGCAGCTTTAAGAAGCAGGAAGAAAGCTGTCCCAAACGAAACCTAAGTTTAGTCAACAATTTTGTTGATTCATTTATTCTGCTTGAGTGAAGATATACCCCATAACCTAGTCTTGTACAATTACAAGCCAAAATTCTAATGAATAAGGTTTCAGTGAAATAAATAGTTTTTTTTTAAATGAATAAATAGTTTTTGGATGCATATATTTCATAGGTATGTTTGGTTACCTCATATGAAGAAATTATACTAAAAATTTTATCCAAAACTTTACTCGGTTTTACGTGTGTTAAATTCATTATGTAGAACCCCTTGCAAGTTTAACATGATCTGTGACCTTTGAGGGAGCTGAGAACTACAGGCCTCTATCATCTTTGGCTAATATGCTTGTATGTGGAGGCAGATGCTCTATTCTATGTGTTGACCTCCCATACAAATATAAACAACTACACCTCTCCCACAAGCTCACTCACTTTTCCTATCTCGTAAAGTTGTCTCTATAATTTAAGTTTCGTTTGGGATGACTTTTTTATTGCTTCTTAAAGCAGCTTTCTAGTACAAGAGTTAAAAATTTTGTATTAAAAAGCTGCTTTAAGTAGTAGAAAAGTAATCTCAAATGAAATCTTAATCAAAGGCAGGAAACAGGACTCCTCATTTTTGCTTTTGATGTTTGATTCCCAAGCTTTTAATGATGCTTTCCTTTCCTTTCTAAAAAATCTGATGCTGTGGCTGAGTATGGCTTTAGACAAGTTTGCAATTCCACAATTAGATGTGTATTCCAGGTACTTAGAAGTGTTTGAATCTGTAATTTTTTTTATAATATTTTTATTAATTATAAGTATTTGAGTCTCTAATAACTTCTGCAACTGCTAGCATAAGGGTTATATTTTACCTATTTTAACTTCTGATACATTCCTGGTTTTTTTCTTACCGTTGGAAGTTCTTCAACGGTTCTATATCTGCAAGATAAACATGAATGCATTTCTTAGTGGAAAATATCGTTTGATCTTTGAAGATATTCTGTAGAAGGGATGTCCTTTGATACTTTCTTATTAAAAAGTCCTTGTTTGTTGTTCTGGCAACAGCGTTAATGCCCTTATTTCACCGTAGTAAAGGCATTCTTTTTATTAATTCTTGCTGATGAAAAATTATACTATTCAAAAAATTGCACGCCTCATGAAAATATTTCCGTAAGCATAAGCTGCCCTCAATATTTGAATTTCAATTGCATTTGCTATGTTTTTTTCTTGTTGCTTGCCCCTATAAATAAATAGTCATAGTAGTTAAACCCACGTAGGAGAATCATATCTGTTACTGCAGAAATTCAGGATAATCCGCTTGATCTTAAATTTAAGTTTCATTTGAGATAGTTTTTTTATTATTTTCTAAAGCAGCTTTCTAAGTCAAAATTTTTTTGGAAGTAACGAAAAATTTGTGACAAAAAATTGTCCCAAACAAAACCTCTTACTTTGTGTTTGGACTTAAAAAGAGCATTTTCCATACTTTCATAATTTAAATCATCATAAATATAAACTAAGAGTACACGAATTCAAGCATAGACTTCATTTGGGATAATCTTCGTACTGCTTTATAAAGCAACTTTTTAGTAAAAAATTAAAAAAAAAAAAATGTGCCAAAAAGCAATTTGAAAGCGTAGTAAGAACGTTATCCCAAACAAAATCTTTGTAGTGAATTTCAAGAAAAAAAGTTGATCTTTATGCTCTTGAGAATGTGCCTTCTATATTCCTTCTAGCAATTCTGCAATGTTACAAAGGAAATGACAACTAAATTGTTGTGTTAATGATAGAACATTTCTTTTGATAGGTGATCTAATTAGAAACTATTAAATTTGGACTCTAACAATCGCCTTACATTGATTGTCCATTGATTGTGATTCACATTAGTGAATAAAACTTGAATTGATTAAGAGAAAATAAATGATTTTGATAATTGTCTTGAAAAAAATGTATGAATATCATAGTATAAGTAACGTTAAGATGAGCATGAATGCTCTTAGATTGATGCTAAAAATAATATAATTCATAATTACATATGTACACACTAATCTCAATGCAAATACAAGAACATTTAAACATAAATGACTTCATGATATCTTTGTGGTTATTATTATTTTTTTTCATTCTCAAGTAAAATTGTGCGAACTTAGGCTTCGTTTGAGATGGCTTCCTTCGTGCTTCTTAAAGTGACTTTCTAGTAATAAAAATAAAATTTTTATACTAAAAAATCGTTGTAAGAAGCAGGAAAAAAAGCCGTCCCAAACGAAGCCTAAATGGTATGTATACTTTATAGAAAAAAAGAAAAGTTGTATAATAACATTGGCCGACTAATACATCTTAAATTTGATCAATTGAAATAAATTTCAAATTGATTTGCAGTAATTTTGGATTGCAATAGGAACATTTTGAGTAGAAAATTTCAAATTATATAGCATGACTCATTTGGAAAATATTTTGACTCATTTAGAAAAGCTGCCGAGCAACTCAGCCACCAACAACATTACCTTTAAATAAAGATAGCTAACATAATTCATATGATACTAAGCATGAAGATTCAGACTAGTCAACAAAATTGTATTTACAGTAAATTAGCCAACAAGGCCGTTAGCCTCCTAATATGTATAATGTTCTATGCTGTCCCAGCTTGATCTGGTTGTTCCTGTTCATTTGAAGTATCATCCTGAGATAAGAAGATCAAGCAGTTGAAATCTGTCAGCTAGCTCATCCAAACACATAAACGGCACTATTATTTCGATTTTGAACATAAACTTAGGCTTCGTTTGGGACGGCTTTCTAGTTGCTTCTAAATGCAACTTTTTAGTATTTGTACTAAAAAGTTGCTTTTAGAAGCAACTAGAAAGCCATTCCAAACGAAGCCTTAAGCTTCTTTTGAAACAAACGTCTTCCTACTTTCTAAAACCGTTTTTCGATACAAAAATTTCTAATTCAAATAATTTTTGTATTAAAAACTGTTTTAAAAAATAATAAAAAAAATTGTCCCAAACGAAATCTTAGTAACAGAACTTACAGGATTTGACAGCTGATCCCTTATCAAGTAAAGGGAGTTGAGCATTGTTCCCAATGTGTCCTTCGATAGTTGAAATTTTACTTCAGCTTCTCCTGATAAAGACCGAGTATCATCTTGAAGCTGCAAATTACTAATTTTAAGGATATAATTATGCTTCCTCCCAATGTTATATATGATAAGTACCATTAGTGAGGTCGAAGGCAACTTCAAATTAAAAAAAATAATAAAATTTTAGCATTTGTAAGCCCTTCAAACTGTAATCTTTCAAGATTTAACGCAGTAAATTTTGCTCCACTTCCTACTTCTATCTTCTCCTCTGTCTACTACAGGAGTTGAAGCAGTGCAGTACTATAAACATTTAAGTATGATAATTTAAAAAAGCAGATATCAAAGCTCTAAAATTCAGTGCAGTAAAAAAAATCTTCTGGCATATCCAAGCATCCCAACTGGTAATTTTTCATGATTTGGAGAGAACGCAGGAAAGTCCTGCTCCACCTACTTCCATTTCTTACAAGAGGGGCAAATTCTATATATGTGTATTTTTCATTCCAATTTATGGCGATAAGATTCATATGCTGAGGTCAAAAAGCTTAGGAGTCGTTTAGGATCACTTTTTTTTTTTTAATGTTCTATTTTTATTTTATTTTATTTATATTTTAATACAAAATAAAATATATTTATTATCTTAAAATATATTTTTGTTTATTTATGCTGTGGTGGCCCGTGGCTGCGGCCAATGATGGTAATGGCATTAGTTGGTGGCAGCAAAGCATGTATTAGAGACGGGCAAAAGCTGATGGTGGCAGATAGCAATAGCACCCAATGATAATAGTTATTTTTAAAAATACTCAAAATAATATCAATAAAAAAAAAGTGATCGTAAACAGGTCCTTGATATTTGTATATTAAAAGCATGTTCAAACACTACTTAAAAAGTGAAGCTTCTTGATATGGAGGAGAAATAATGCAGTACTTCTAGTACCCTTTTCTCTATTCCTCCATCTATGATAAGGGGGGCTGAAGCTGGAGAGATTATTCTGTGCGGACTCAGAATGCAACTTTACATCTGGATAACAGCCAGAATAAGCCGCGTCAGCGATACCGAGCCGTGGTACCAAACCACCGGCTTAGATATCCAGACGGGGTTCGGCTTCCCCACAAAATAGTTTTTCCAGAAGCTGACGCTACTATGTTTCCTCCTAATTTTATGTATGATAAGCTCCATATGCTCAGGTTTAAAAAAGCCTGAAACTATGTATGGTAAAAACAATGTTGCATTTTCAAACCACTCAAACATTGAATCGTGATCTTTCAGTTCTTACTCTCCTTTCTCATCTTCTGCAAGGGGTTTCAAGTGATCACTATGTCTTCTTGTTTTTTCCTAATTTTCTTTTAAGGTTTCTTGAGAGAAGGGTCAAATCAAGGAATCATGCATTTTTGGCTATAGAATTATAAAACTCAGAAGTTTACGTTCTACCTTCAAATTTATAATTGCAAAAGGATCTGTAGCATCCACACTCTGGTTTGCCATATTCCATGTCATTGCCTTTAGACGGGGCAAAGAAACCTGAAACATGTAGAACACATCCAATAAAGATGAATTAAGCTTTGCAACTATCTTATAGTCCATAGGTTGAATGATAAACAAAATGGTAATCAGCTAGGGAATGTTTTGCTGCAAGCAGAAGGAAGAGCAATGGGAAGGTAAAAACAAAATTTTACTTTATGGAACAAATGAATACTTATATTTACTAGATGCCTTTGGCGTTTGGAAAAGAGAATGAATAGTATTTTGATTTTCTTTTTTGGATTAAAAATGCTAATAAATTGCTACAATTCTAAAACTTGGATCCTAAGATTCTAAATACTAAAACAATCACCGAGTTTGGGACCAAAGACATGCCAAGAAAAATGATTATAACAGTGAAAATAAATCCTTATATCATCATGACTTTCCCATGAAAATGATTACAGTAGATAAAGCTCAAGGTGGAGAGAAAAATACACTTGATTATGTTCTTTCATTTAGTAAAATCATAATTATCTTGGGCCAAGTCCTCAAATTTTGTATTAAATTAATATAATATGTAGCACAGTGAGTCCAATAAAATTATTTTCCCTTTTCCATCAATTTATTCCCATCGCCTTAAATGTGCATCTAAGGTCTACCCGTCAAGTAATTTAAAAATGTACTATGCATCTTTCACCATGTTTGATACTTCAATAGACTTTAAACATATGGTGCCAAAGGGGTTAATAATAAGATTGATCAAGCACCTATCATTTAACTAATCATGACATTGTGATTCCGATTTGTGGTTATGTGTTCTTAATCTCTTCAATGACCTTTTTAGTGTTGTTCAATTCCTCTTTCAACTTCAAGTTCTAATTTCATGCACTGAAGGTTTAAGGCCTCTACCTAACCTATAGAACGGCACATGTTAAAATAGGACGGAGAAGTTATCACGTTAAAAGGAATCTCATTCTTAAAGAAGAACCTTCCGAGTTCCAATGTCCATATAAACATGATTATGAGCCTATTAGGCATTTTGTGGAGTCAATACAGACCTCCCAAAGTCCAAATAAAGATGATTATGAGCCTCTTTGGTATTTTGTGGAGTCAATCGAGCCTGTCATACTGTCATTCTTTTCAACATCCAATGTCATTATATATTGATCTACAAGTGCCCTAGTACTTCTATTGGAGATGTGTGTCCAATGAGAAGAACATTTGTCACTACCATAATGAAGTCATTATGGCCTCTATCTTTCTGATTATCATAAAAAAGTTGCACAATATATGAAAGCACACGAAATGTTGTTATTTCATTCATGCAAGCCATTCGTTAACTTTTTCTCACAATAATTGCTTTTCCAATAAATTGTCTTCCCACTCAAAACCTGTACTTCAATACTATGCTTCCATATCAAATCCTTTCAATTGTGCCCCACATTTCCAATTAAATACTTTTCAGAAGATCTCACTAACTTCAAATGGAATACAACTACAACATCAAGCCATTATCCCACTATGTGGGGTCAGCTACAAGAATCTTTTTTCTCCATTGTATCACGTTAAGAGTTAAATTCTCATTTAAATCAAATAGAGAAAGGTCATTTTTAATATTTTTTAAACATGTCTTTTTAGGTCTACCTCTACCTTTCTTAACATAAGTCAAATCTAATACATCTACTTTCCTAATCGGACCATCATAAGGTTGTCATTTTATGTGACCAAACCATATAAGGTGACTCTCTCTAATCTTATCTTCCACTGGAGCTACTCCAACCTTTTCACGTATATGCTCATTTCATATCATGTCTTTAAAAGTAAAGCCACTCACCCACTTGAGCATCCTCATCTCTGCAACACTTAAATTAATATTATGCTTATCTTTTAATGGAGAATATTTTGCACCATAAAGTATTGCAGGTCTCACAACCATCTTAAAAATTTTTCCTTAAGTTTCAGGGGGGCTTTTCTATCACACAACAAACCCAATACATTCCTCCACTTCAACCATCCAACTTGAATTCTACAAATAATATATTCATATTTCACCATCACTCTGAACAATAGACCCAATGTATATAAAATGTGTACTCTTATTAATGACTAGATCGCCCAAAGTCACAATCCCTCACTAGATCTTTTATTACTAAAATTAGACTAAATATATTCAGTTTTAGATCTACTCAAATGAAAGCCTTTATACTCTAAGGTTGACCTCCAATTCCATAATTCAAGTTTACCTCCAACTCCCTCTCTAGTCTTATCAACAAGAAGAATGTCATTAGTAAAAAGCATACACTAGATACAACATCTTGCAAATGCCTGGTCAGAACATTCATGACTAAAGCAAAAAGACATGAGCTTAAGGATGATCCTTGATGTAATCCAACTGAAAGAAGGAAATGCTTGGTCAAACTACCTTATGTTTGAACACAAGTAACAGCCCTTGCACACATATCCTTAATGACTTGAATATAAGCATTATTAATCCCTTTCTTTTCTAGAACTCTCCATAACATTTTTCTTGGAACTTTATCATATGCTTTCTCTAAATCAATAAATATCATATGTGGATTCTCCTTATTCTCACTATACTTCTCCATCAAACCTCTCAATATATGTATAGCTTTCATAGTAGACCTACCCGGCATGAATCCAAATTCATTTTGAGAAACATTAGTGTCATGACGCAACCTATGCTCCATAACTCTCTCCCATAGTTTTAAAGTATGATACTTAATTCCTCTATAATTCGCATAATCATGTGCATCACTTTTATTCTTTGAAATAGGAATCAACACACTCATTCTTCACTCATCTAGCATCTTTTTAGTCTTCAAAATAATATTGAAAATTTTAGTAAGCCAAGAAATTTCTTCATCTCCTAAGCATTTCTAAACCTCTATTGGAATATCATCAAACCTCTATTGGAATATCATCAAGTCCAAAGTTTTTTCACACTTCATTTTTTCTTTAAAACCTCTCTATTTATATGCCAATAAAAACAAAATTCTTTATTTTCATTTAGGGTGTTAAGATCACTAAAGTCAATCGCATTCTCACAACTTCATTGAAAAGTTTAGCCAAATATCTTATCCACCTTTATTGAATATCCTCTTCTAATAAAAACACTTTTTGATCTTTATCCTTAATACATTTCACTCGAACAAAATCCCTACTACTCCAATCTTTTTGTTTTACAAACTTATATATCTTTCGCTCTCCTTAGTGTCTAATATATTATATAAATCATTAAAAGCTAAAATATTTGCATTACATATTGCTTTCTTAAACTCCTTACGGCCCTCTTTATATCTTACCCAATTATAAGAATTTTTCCATCTAAACCAATTTTTATAATAAATCTTTTTTTTATCTTTTCTTGCATATTTTGATTCTACTACCCCTTATTTTTATTATTATGAGTTTTTCCTTTTGATACTCCATACACATCTTTTAAAACAGAAAATGAAATAAAGATAAAAAAATAGCACACAAAATGAGAAAGAAAGAAGAATAGCAGCAGCTTAAAAGAGAAATAAGAGAAAGAGTAAAGCGTTATCGAACACATCCCAAAATAGTAGTGTAGAAGTCTTCAACATAGCAATAGCAACAATGGAGCATGGTTGCAAGTTTCTCCTAAATGGTGCAGGTCCCAGCAACGGTGCAGGAGTATTCCGCTTTGGCTTCCTTTTCACCAAGATAGTACAAGGTCCTTTTTTTTTTGCTTTTTTAAAAATCAAAGGTTTAGTTTATAATATTTAGTAGATGGGTTTTCTTCTCAAAAATTTGCACCAAGAGAGCAAAATAATGAAGCTTGTTAGGCGAAATTAATTGATACATCTATTGATAAGATTTTGGGTAGTGACACCTACATCCTTGGATAAGTCAAGACATTGTATTTCACTTGTTTATATGTTGTTCATTTGGAATTATATGAACAAAAACTATAAAGTAAAAAACAAAAGGTAGCCCTTAAGCAATCATAGCCTGACCATATCCTTGTGGGCATCTTCTCTCCACTCTTGCTGAAACTTTTGCAAAAGCAAGGTAAGGCACCTTTGCAACTCTGGAAGCACCTCTTTAGGAAACAATTTGTGAATCTCATCCTTACAAATATTTTCATAGACACACTTGCGCATCAGGATCCGAAGGCATAGAACAAGCTGCAAAGCAAATATATACCAATAAAGAAAACAAGTTATTGCAAAATAAAGCTAACTAAAACATTAAAAAGACTCGTCTCTAGAATAGAGTATATATAAAAAAGAATGATAGTGTGTGCATGAATCACTCATCATTTTTATCCTATTTTATTTTGCACTTCACAGAGCTCCATAATTAAGTTTCCAAAATAAAAGCAGCATAACTGCCATTTCTTTATTCATCATAATCAAGTATCATGAACAATTATTACATAGAAGTTGAATCTAATTTAATTTTTCCTTGATAGACCGATATTTTCCATCGGTTTTTCTTTTTACACCATTTTACTTTTAAACGTCTTCATTACATAAGGCTAATCATTGCTTTCTTTCAAAATCCTCAAATTCATATGCAAATAAAAAGCCCCCAAATCTCCTTACTTCAGCTATTTGACTAACCCTTCCAAATTGTTGCTGTAACGGCCATTCTAACTGTATATGCAAATTGAAGTGAAAAATAGGGAGGTGAGGAGACCTATATAAATAGGAGGGCAAGTATAGGAGAATCCATTAGGAACTCAGTTGAGTTTACCACTAACTACCTTGCCCATCTGACAGTGCTAAAAGCAGAGCTATAGAACACAGTTAACAGCACATTTAAGAGGAAAGGTAAACTGTAAAGAAAAATGCATGTGCTGGTTATAGAAAGAGGATTGATGGAGCAATGTTTTGCTAGCATCATGCGGCAGATAATGATCTTCAAGTTGCACACCTGTGAACTTAGGATTTCTCATATGGCTACTTCTAATTTACAGAACAAGGTCGCGTCATGCAGCACCAATGTTTTAGGACATTTATAAAAACATCCATTGAGAGACATTAGGATGAATGAAAAGAATTAAGTCTTGTTTCTCCTTTCTTTATCTTATCTTCCTTTTTCTAAAGTTGGGGGAGAACTTGAATCGGTTGTTTATAGTTGCAATCCTCTAGGGTCATAATTAGTGCTCTTGTTGAGATACACCAATCACCTTTGGCTCTTCCTGATCCGACCATTTCAGGAAGCATCCCATGCAAAGCTTTGTCAAGATATCATCCATCTCCATCATGCATCCCATCCAAGCCATGCATGGCATCAATATTATACACCTGATCCCTTATGTCACCCATCCCACCAGCAAATGTATCAGAGGGGTGACCTACCATAGATGGAAACTCAGTGCTTCCAAATTCCTGTGGAAATGAAGGAGAGCTAAAGTTTTCAATGGAAAGCTAACGTAGAAGAAAAGCAATCATGGACTTTCTCGTTAAGCTTCCCCTCGTCCATATGCACCGACAACAAAACAATATAAAATGGAATCAACAAGACCGTCTCTGATGCCAGATCCGCTAGATCTTCAAGATTTGGACCAGTGACCTCAAACCCTAGCCTTAATCCACCACCAAATCCAACCCCTTCTTCATAAATTCACCTTAGCCTCAACAACGTCAACTATATCTAGTCAATTTCATAAAGCTTCATCGACCTCCACCTCAACCAACACCCTAAATATATATCATCGATGCCATTCATTTTGTCACCATCTCTATCTATATCCAGCCTTAGCACCATCAAGAACCTTGCTAGATCCCCATTCTACGACATGCTCAACCCGTCGTCTAAGAGCATCTTTCCCAACCACATCCACTCCTCACATCTGGATGTCATCACTTATGCCCAATATCTTGTGACCTCATTCAACTCAAATCCCGATCTCATAGACTCTCGAGTGACTCTGTCTGACCATCTACCAAGCCTCCCTCGCTCAAAACCCCACTTTTCTAAGATCCTCTCCAAAAGATCGCCAAGATTATGTCAAGAATGTCGTTCAAATATTTAAATATATTCATAAAATAAATATCATTCTTTTACATATATCGGAAGTAAGACTCCACTGCATCTTGAGAAGCATTTTAATGGAGAGCATTTGATCGTCAACAACACCTCTCCCAACTCTGAATACTGCATAATCGCACCTTTCCAAATTTTCTTCCATAATTTGATCGACCTTGAAGGCAAGATCTTTTTGAAGGAGTAGTTAGAGATAAGGTAATGTTAGTAAAATAAATGTATTAGGTAATTGGGCAGGGCTATGAGACATTTAATAGGTAATTAGTGACTCACAAAGTCTTTTACATCTATAAATAGCCTCCATTGGAATCAGGATGAATGAATGTTCTATTCCCTTTTCTTGCGTTGCGGGCGAACTCGAATCCACCTTTTATCATTGTGATCCTCAGTTACCATAACACTGCTACCTAAACGGCATTAAACCAAGCAGGTTCCAGAGAAGGAAATGTAGGAACAGCTATGGTTTACGTATGTTAGCGTATTGCAAAAAGACTGATTAATAACAAATCTTCCAACACCATCAAAATATACGGTTTACACCGAACACTCAAACTTTTCAATAAAGACAACCAAATACAGAGACTATAATACTTCATTTATTGAAAAAAAAAAAAGTAAATCAATTTTCCATTGAAACTCCAAAAGATCGCCAAGATTGTGTCAAGAATGTCGTTCAAATATTTAAATATAATCATAAATAAATATCATTATTTTACATATATGGGAAGTAAGACTTCACTGCATCTTGAGAAGCATTTTAATGGAGAACATTTGATCAACATCACCTCTCCCAACTCTGAATACTGCGTACTCGCTCCTTTCCAAATTTTCTTCCATAACTTGATTGACCTTGAAGGCGAGATCTTTTGAAGGAGTAGTTAGTGATAAGGTAATGTGAGTAAAATAAATGTATTAGGTAATTGGGCAGGGCTATGAGACATTTAAATGATTTAATAGGTAATTAGTGACTCACAAAGTCTTTTACATCTATAAATATCCTCCATTGGAATCAGGATGATTGAATGTTCTATTCCCTTTTCTTGCGATGCCGGCGAACTCGAATCCACCTTTTATCATTGTGATCCTCAGTGACCATAACACTGCTACCTAAACGGCATTAAACCAAGCAGGTTCCAGAAAAGGAAATGTAGGAACAGATATGGTTTACGTCTATGTTAGCGTATTGTAAAAAGACTGATTAATAACAAATCTTCCAACACCATCAAAATATACGGTTTACACCGAACACGCAAACTTTTCAATAAAGACAATCAAATACAGAGACTAAAATACTTAATTTATTGAAAAGAAAGTAAATCAATTTTCCATTGAAACGAATAAGAAGAGAATGGAGTGAGCAGGGATTTTACGGGATCGAGATCGGAATCTGAGGAGAGGCCAAGCATTTCGCGTATGATTTTGCGGTCAGTATCGTCGAGGCCAGTCCGCCGGGTCCGCCACAACGCCTGCAGAATGTACTCCACCGACTCCCAGGAGCTTGACTGCAGAAGCAGTGGCAGATGTCCCCACAGCGAGTGTTGTAGCTCCATCAAATCCAACCATTTGGTGGGGCAAAAATACCAAACACAGCGATTTATCTATCGATCTGCTTAAACCCTAATTGTTGTCTCCTCCTTCAATGAGAGGATTCAGTGAGGTCCCGAAAATAATTCCATTGTACAATTACAAATACATCGCTCTATATTCATTATTATCATCCGTATCTTCCTAAAAATTTTAATATTTTAAATGATAGATATTATATATATAAATAATATGAATTAAAGTGTTATGTATGTAAATCCTCATAAATTTTATCAATTTGTATTGTCAAAATTTATAGAGAAATTTAGCTTGCTCATAATAGCTCAACAATACGCCGGGGGAGAAATATAAATGATCTTTTATTTTGTGCCAAAATACTCTTAATATTATCTCCACAATAACATCAAGCCTATCCTACTATGCGGGTTGGTTATACTAATTAGGGGTGTCCATTTTTGACACGACCCGAAACACGACGCGAATCAGACCTAGAAAAATCCGAGTTAGGGTCAACCCGAACCCGAAATGGGTCAGGTTCGGGTTGACCCAGCAACCCGAAAATGACCCAAAATTTACCCGAAATTGACATGAAAACTCCTATTTGACTCGAAAACCCGAGATTGACCCTTTTTGACGCGATTTTGAACTGAAAATCGAAGATTGGCCCGATTTTGACCCGAAAACTAGCAATTTTAGGTGAACTTCGAGACATTCGTGTCGGATCGGGTTGAACCAGACCCGAATCGGGTCGGGGTCGGGTTCGGGTCCGGAAACCTGACTCGTTTTTAAAAACGGGTCGGGTTCGGGTTGACTCGAACAGTGCCGGCTCAATTCCGGGTTCGACCCGAACCCGACCAGTTGACCCGAATTTACACCCCTAATATCAATTTTTTTTTTATTATGTCCTATTAAGAGTTAAATTCTTATTTAAATATAATAAGAAATTATTTCTAATATTTTCTAACTAAAATATTTTATAACATAGATCAAATTAAATATATATATTCTCTTAATCGGGTCATCAGAAAGATCACATTTTATGTGACCAAATCACCTAAGACGACTCTCTAATATTATCTACCAATGGAGTTATTCCAACCTGTTCGCATATATACTCATTATGTATTATGTCACTATGTACAAAACCACTTATCCACTTGAGCATCCTCATCTTTGCAACACTAACTTAATTTGTTTCTTTCTCTTTTAATGGCCAACATTCTGCACTATAAAGTATTGTAGGCCTCACCATCATCTTAAGGGAAAATTCTATAAGATGATGGTGAGACTTTTTAGTACATCCTTATAAAAAACACTAAACAAAGTAGATTAACGACTTCAATAGTTATAGATAAATTTTTAAATACTTAAATGATATTATATTGTAGGAGTCAAGTGGTTGTGTAATGATTTATTAAGCTTTATATTAGATTTGTGTAATCAAAACGAGGTCATTTTAATTGAGCCGTAATGTTGAACTAGATAGAGAATTGAAGAGATTGCTCGAATAAAGTTCGATAAGTAGGCAAATTTTCTTCATATATGGTAATACCTGGTTTAAATCTTATTCAAATTTGATTAGAACTTTATTTGAATATGGTCTATACTATATATGAACAAGGTTTGAAATATATTTGATTATTGTTCTACACTTTAATTTGAACCTTGTTTCAAACATTTGAACATTGTTTGGACATAATGCAAAACATTTGAACATTGTTTGGAATAATGCAAACATTGTTTGAGCAAGCATTCTATTTCAAAATTTTCTAATCCATTGAACTTTTATACTAAAAAAAATGTTTAAGAAAGTAGCAAAAAAGTTGTCTCAAACAAAACCATAGAGTATCAAGTCATATTTTAAAAGCAGTTATCTCCAAAATAAATTTCTAGCATAATTCTTTCAATAAAAATATGGTGGGCATATTTGTCCAAATACCACTATTATGAGGCATATAAAATCAAATTTCTCAATTCCAATGCATAACACCAAAAACTTACCTATATGCATAACATCTTAAACTTACCTATATACAAAACTATCAAATTCATATATTTGTGCTAGCCATGATCAAATTGTTGAGAATTTGACAGAAGTGAAAAAATATGGGTTCGAATTTTATTGTGAATTTCAATATTTAAGTAGCAATTTTAAAAATGGAGATAAAATGGCTAATTTTGTAAATAGTTAAGCTTTAAGCGTTATACATGTAATTACCCAATTTTTTATTTGAAACCACAAGGGCTCATTTGGTAGCTTGTAAGTAAAAAAATATTAAAAATTATTATTATTATATTTGATGGTAGTAAGAAAATACATCTTTCAAATATGAATTTTAATGCGCTTTTCAAATCTTAAAGTACTCAATCATTTGAGCCAAATATTTTAAATCTAGGTCATCTGAAGACTATTTCAGCAAATTTATTGTTGAGATAAGATGGTTTGACAAAATAGAACCAAAAGCATCCCATTTAAGTTCATTAACGCATAAGGATGTCAAGAAATATAACATGATTAACATGGATCAATTCTAATTATCTATAAAGCATTTAGATTTTTGAAATAAATGGTCAGAAAACCCCATCAAAAATTTTATAAATACATTATTTTCTTACATTAGGCATTTGTTGGAGAGAATTCTAGAGCTTTTCTTGCTAACATATTAAGTTACTAGCCAGCTAATATTTATACGCATCTTTGGTATGGCCCAATGTTGTTAGCCGAACACAATTTCAATGCCTAGCATTATCATGGTCCCATGTCATCTATTAAACAACATTAGCACCTTCATTACTCATCATTTGAAATCATTCATCAATGTTTGTTAACGCCATTGCCCAATGTTTATTGTTGACTACCATTCAGCACCCAACAAAGACAGATATCAAGCACCCTTCAATCACTAAGATTCAATGCCCATCAACTATCATTGTACGTACCTTTATCTTTTTATTACTTTGTAGGCAAGGAATTAAACTAACTCAATTAATATAAGATAGTTTATTTAACAAACATGAAACATAAAGATGTATGTATTTGAATATAATATGAGATTTCACTTACCTAACATGTGATGTTAGACAAGGTTTATTTATTCCGGAGGATCTAGTTTTCCATGGTGCAAGCGTGCACTTGATTAATTATATCCTGGATAAGGAGACCAAACAAACTCACAAATGAGGGTGTTCATTCATGTTCCTTAGGGTTTAATGTAATAGGGCTTATAGGGTGCTTCTTATCCCCAAAGACAAAAATAGCTCTAGTGTCTTCCAAATATGTAGGGCGAGCATAATCAATCATATCTAAAAGCAGGCAAGAGTAAGAAGAAAGTATATGCATAGTAAAATGTTGGAAACATAATGGTAAAGAAGGTATGGGAAAGACATCACTAAACACTAGTTATAAAAGTTCCATAGTCGAAAAAGAATAAAGATTGCCCAATGATGATAACTAAATAATAATAAAAGAATTTTAGCCTCAAACTTTAATATAAGGTAAGAACTTAATGCGCCACTAAGGTCTAATATATAAACTAACAGGATAAGACTAACTTGAAAAAAATAAATGTATGGGATAAGATTAATCTATTTTTTATTTAGTTATACTATCCTTAGTGAGATATAAACAAATGTAGCATTATTGATCAATGAAAGGTTATGATTAATTATTTTGAAATTTTGTCTTAAAAAAATATGCATTGTATTTTAAAATATATTATATTTTATATTGCTTATAACTTATGGCAAATGATTTAACAATTTAGGAGCCTAATGAGGTTTCTTAGGCTAATAACATTACAATTGAAATAATCTAAGAAAAAAACAAGCTTTTGCTAAGACACAATTATGCGAATAAATATAACAAATTATAGCAAGCAAATTATAATATGCGAAATACAGTTAGGTTTTATAATACACTCTAAAAAAGATGCTTAGACAATCAAATTTATAAAACAATCATAAATCTATACAAAAATTAAAGAAATGTGTAGTCTTCATATTGGAATCCAATTGGTGCATGTATGGGACTCTATTGTATAGCTCATCCCACATCTATACTTAAAAATACATAATAAAAATAAAATCACATGGGAGCATTAGCTACCACACACATATTTCATCTAAACATTTATTTTAGTCTATAACAACAATGCAACAAGCACTAATTTGAGGCCTTTGAGAGCATTATGTAAACCATCACATATAAAATAAAATATATCTATCATATTATAAATAATTATAACCAATTAGAATTGTCATCCCAACATACATCACTCAACAAGCACAAAAAATTAATCATAATCACACTATGGTTGTAGGATTTATAAGAGCATGCTTATCGCAATGTATAGTCTGTGTATAAATGTTATTAGTGATAATCTAATCGATGTGCAATGTCAACATCTCAAATTGATTAGAAAAATATACAAGTTTTTTTATCAAGGGTGGTTTTAGTTTAAATCATTGATGAATTGACTAAATTTGTTAATAGATTTTATGAATTAAGGTTTTCATCATTAAAGGTTATAAAAAAAATCTATGAGTTATGAGCATGACAAACCATGGGTGGGTGATCCCATCATAAAGATTATAAATCCTATGGTTAAAAGATAAATGTTTTAAAAATATAACATGGTGGAAGAACCAAGGTTGTGAAAACTGGATCAGACAATGAACTAGAAGAAGGAGAGGTCCACGGATCAATGATTCAATTGAGACTGAACCAGGGTTGAACTGGATGATATAATAAGTACTAAAATTATTCAAATATAATATAAATTATGTAATAATTAAAATTTTAATAAAAAATTCACAACTACTTTGATTAAATCTCATGAACAAGCTCGATTAAGGCTTAGCATAAAGCTTATTAAAAAGCTCTATTAATAATTAATATGAATATTACAAATATAATTATATGCATAATAAATAGATTTTAAAATTAAGAAGTTTAATAATATAAATGTATAAGTAGAAATATAAACTTTAATAAGAATAATAATATGATACTTAATGTAATATATAAATTTTATAATATAAAAACTTATGTTCCTAACTTTAATAAATTATATGCATTATCAACCCAGATTTACATCCCAAGCAATTTGAAAATTTAACTCATGCAGAATTCTCACAGGTTCTTAGTCCCAC